TATCTTTGCGGAAACCATTCTCATGCTGCTCGAGATTGTCCTACTCTGAACAAATTAGGAGCAATTGTCGCAGCACACCAGCAACAAGGACAAACTGCTGCGCCTACTGACAGGCAACCGGAGGAACGAAGAGCACCAGCTGATGGTGCAGGACAAGGGAAGAACAAGGCCGTAGGCTTGTTCAATCATATGGCCTTGATAAACCATATGACCATTGCCGCTATTGCTGCCCAACCGCTCGTGTGAGGCCCCGTGAATCTTTATTCGTCGATGCCAAGTTAAATGGTAAAGACGTACGCATCATGGTGGATACAGGTGCGACTCATAATTTTGTGACACGGGAACGATCTAGGGAGCTTGGACTTGTCTTTATATCCAGCGACACGATAATGAAGACTGTCAATGCCCTTTCCCACTACCGTTCATGGCTTTGCTCCTAACGTACAAATTGCTTTAGGAGGCTGGCAGGGATCGACGGACTTCACCGTTGCTCCCATGTATGTCTTTGACATTATTCTGGGATTAGACTTTTGGTACGAGGTCAACGCACTTATTGCACCACGTATCAACCAGCTTCACATAAGCGATCCTGGAGGTTCGTGTATTGTGCCCCTTGTTCGGGTACCACAAACTGGAGTGCATCTGTCAGCGATGCAGCTTGTGAAAGGTTTCAAGAAAGGAGAACCAACCTTCCTTGCAACCTTGACGGGAATCGTTGAGCATTCCCCTGAGGCAGTAGCATTGCCTCCCCGCATTGAGCAAGTCCTTGATGATAATAAGGACGTGATGCCGGAAGAACTTCCCAAACATTTGCCACCACGGAGGGAAGTTGATCACCAGATCGAGCTGGTTCCAGGGGCAAAGCCACCTGCCATGTCGCCTTATCGCATGGCGCCCCCGGAATTGGAGGAATTGAGAAAGCAACTCAAGGAGTTGCTAAAGGCTGGCCACATACGACCATCCAAGGCACCTTACGGAGCTCCTGTCTTATTTCAGAAGAAGAAGGAGGGTACCATGCGGTTATGTATTGATTATAGGGCCCTTAACAAGGTCACAGTGAAGAACAAGTACCCTATCCCTCTCATTGCTGATTTATTTGATCGCTTGGGGCAGGCCAAGGTGTTCACCAAGATGGATCTGAGGAAAGGTTACTACCAAGTGCAGATTGCCGACGGAGACGAGCCCAAGACAACTTGTGTTACACGGTATGGGGCTTTTGAATGGTTAGTAATGCCATTCGGTTTGACAAATGCTCCTGCAACCTTCTGCACTTTGATGAACAAACTATTCCATCCCTTCTTGGATCAGTTCGTTGTCATCTATCTAAATGATATTGTGGTTTACAGCAACAATATGGAGGACCATGCAGAACACCTTCGCAAGGTATTCAAGGTACTAAGGGAAAATGATCTGTGCGTCAAACGTGAGAAATGCAGCTTCGCACAGCCCATAGTACAGTTCCTCGGGCATACAATCAGCCATGGGGAAATTCGGATGGATAGGGACAAGGTGGAAGCTATCCAGGACTGGGAAGCTCCAACAAAGGTACCGGAACTTCGGTCCTTTATCGGCTTAGCCAACTATTATCGGAGATTCATCTTCGGTTACTCGGCTATTGCATCTCCTCTCACTGATTTGCTGAAGAAAGACAGAGAGTGGGAATGGAGCGACATATGCCAGAAGGCATTCGAGAAACTCAAGGCAGCAATCACCAAGGAACCCGTATTGGCCCTGCCTGATTTCTCGAAAGTATTTGAAGTCCAGACTGATGCGTCTGACTTTGCTATAGGAGGCGTACTGATGCAAGAAGGCCACCCTATAGCCTTTGAGAGTTGAAAGCTGAATGACGCTGAAAGGCGTTACACAGTCCAAGAGAAAGAAATGACTGCTGTAGTCCACTACCTAAGGACTTGGCGTCATTACTTGTTAGGAGCACATTTTGTTGTCAAGACTGACAACGTTGCAACAAGCTACTTCCAAACACAGAAGAAGCTATCTGCCAAGCAGGCTCGTTGGCAAGATTTCTTGGCCGAATTCGACTACACCCTGGAATATAAACCGGGGAAAGCTAACGTAGTTGCCGATGCTTTGAGTCGCAAGACAATATTGTCAAACATGGTTAGCTCAGCAAGCAGTGGCATCATCAAGACCATCAAAGAAGGTATGCAACATGATCCCGTGGTAAAACAGCTTATTGCCTTGGCCAGTCAAGGCAAAACTCAGCGATTTTGGGAAGAAGATGGTCTCTTGTACACCACTGGCAAAAGAGTTTACGTGCCCAAATGGGCAAATCTCCGGCGTACTCTACTGAAAGAAGGTCATGACTCTGCCTGGGCAGGTCATCCAGGGCAAAAACGCACATTGGCCCTGATCGAGTCTTCTTATTATTGGCCTCGGATGCGGGACGACATCGAGGTATATGTACGCACTTGTCTAGTTTGTCAACAAGACAAGGTGGAATCCAAGCTTCCTGGGGGTTTACTTGAGCCGCTGCCAGTTGCGGCGAAGCCATGGGACAGCATAACCATAGACTTCATCACGTGTTGCCAAATTTGGAGGGATTCGACACCATTATGGTGGTTGTCGATAGATTCACCAAGTATGCAACATTTTCGGCCACCACTGCCGGTTGCAAAGCTAAAGAGGCAGCACGTATATTTTTGAGGGACATCGTAAAATATTGGGGCGTGCCTAAGCACATCATAAGCGATCGAGACCCTCGTTTTACCGGCGCATTCTGGAGAGAATTGTTCAGCTTGTTGGGAACTCAACTGCACTTCTCAATAAGTTTCCATCCGCAAACGGATGGGCAAACGGAAAGGATTAATGCCTTGCTTGAATGCTATCTGAGGCATTATGTCAGCGCCAATCAAAGAGACTGGGCTAAGCTACTGGACATAGCTCAATTCTCTTACAATTTGCAACGCAGCGAGGCGACTGGGAAGAGTCCCTTTGAGCTTGCAACTGGGCAACAGCCCAACACTCCTCAATCATTGCCCGCCAACGTCGGATTGAAGAATCCGGGGGCTTTTCACATGGCCAAGTTTTGGGAGGAACAAGCCGATCTAGCCAGGTCATATCTTGACAAGGCAGCCCGCAAAATGAAGAAATTTGCGGATAGGAAGCGTCGTCCAGTCAACTATAGGATTGGAGACAGGGTCATGGTGAAATTAAATCCACGGCAGTTCAAATCACTGCGAGGCGTACATCATAGTCTGACTCGCCGATATGAGGGCCCATTCGAAATTGTTGCCAAAGTGGGGATAATATCATATCGACTGGACATGCCGCGTCATCTGAAAATCTATCCAGTCTTCCATGCTAGCCAACTGAAACCATACNTCTTCCATGCTAGCCAATTGAAACCATATTTCGAAGACATGGAAGACAAGGATCGGGCGCAGTCCAGCCGAAGCCAAATTTTTGCTACTCCGCCAGCAACAGACAAGCAATTGGAAGCCATCATAGACCATCAGTTGGTCCGTGGAAAAGGATGGGGCAATTCAAGCGCACAGTTCCTTGTTCATTGGAAAGGAACTTCGCTAGAGGAGGCATCATGGGAGAAGTTTGAAGATTTGTGGCAGTTTAGGGAACAAGTCCACAATTATCTTCAGTTGTGTGGCGCCGGGGTCGTCGCCATTTCAGGTGGGGGAGCGTGCACCACCCCGCCATCGCACCTATTAATTTTCAGCAAAACCAGCGATAGCGAGCCTTGTCCGAGCCTAACTTTCGGATTGCCATCAGTGGGCCATGGTTGACATCATATCCCACAAAGTCTGCCTTTCCAGCTTTTCTTGCAGGAATCCAGGCAGCTTCCCATGCAGGAATCCAGGCAGCTTTCCATACTGAAATCCAGACAGCTTTTCATGCAGGAATCCAGGCAGCTTTCCAGGCTGGAATGCACCAGCCCAGCAAATCACCCCTTTTGTATAGCCATTTTAGTTCTATAAATAGGCTTTGTTTTCATTCTTTGTAAGGCATCAGATATTGAATAACACAACAGAAAATTGGCACTTGCCTCCCAAATTCGAGTCTCTTTATTTCAAAGTTTTCTTGCTTGTTTCGTGTGATTGCCATCGCTTTAGCACGATTGTGTTATTTATTGTCTAAGGGCTGAAGCTAAGTAGCTGTCAGGCTTACTTTGCTGCCCTCGCCGAACCCTCAGAAAAACGGTTCCGCGACATTAGTCTCTAATTGTCGCTAGTTCTTTATCAAATATTGTGGCTATCTTCTACTTTATTTCCTTGTTATTCTATATCCTTGTTCTTTTATTGGATTCGTATAAGAAACATGTTTGAATGACGAAAAGGAAAGAATTGAGCATGACTACAGGGCAGTAAATTTAAGCAGAAAGCTCATGAAATGCTTCACCAAATGATCACAGAATGAAAAAAAGAAAAACAAAGATCCGACCATGTTACACAAAATTCCACTTTCCTTTATTATTTTATTTGAATTCCAATAATGAATATATATAGTTTCTTGGTGATACTTACGAATTCATTTTTTTTAAAATAAAGACTAAGATGTCCGAATTTGAGTACACATATGCATAGTAAGATGTGCATTAAGATTAAGACGTTTGAATGTAAATACATATCTTAATGAAATTAAGTCTTTGTTATAGATCTGAATAATTCAGATACATTCAAACCCATTAAGTAGTTGTGAAACTAAAAAAAAGTACGTAGTAATTAAAATTTAAATGATTAAAATTCAAACTTAAAAAATAAACATATGTCTGAGATTTAGATGAATAAGATTAAGACAAACAAATAAAACTTAGTGTCTATTGATGACAAATAGAGTAAAAGTTGAGTGACTTCTTAATTACGAAACCAATTTAGTATGATAAATTAAAAGTTGAGTGATCATCAAATGACAATAATGCACATACCAGCTAAGCAACTACAAATATGTCCAATTAGCATAAAAATCCAAATGAGTGAAATTACCTATGCAGTGAAAGAACACATGCTTAACACGTGCTAGCTATTCCATCAACCATATGCTAGCATCTCTTTTTACCTCCCTGAACATTCTCGTCGTCTTCTTCCACAGTTCCACTGCCTCGGTCCCAAAAACAGTGTCCTTTTTCTAATTTGCATATTCATTCGGATACACTCCCATAAAATCAATTTCATTTTCACCTGCAACTCACTATCTATTCCCCTTCTACTAATCTCCCTATAGATAGATCCACCAAAATTCAAACCCTAAACCCCCAAAACGACACTGTCTGATTCAAATCCAAGCCACCAGAATTGCATCCTCGATCCAAGCTGGAGCAGTTGAAGACAATTGGTAGGGAGCTCGCAATGGGCTCCCAAGGCGGATTTGGACAGTCCAAAGAGTTTCTCGACCTAATCAAATCCATCGGCGAAGCCCGATCCAAAGCTGAAGAAGATCGAATCGTGATTAACGAGATCGAAACCCTTAAAAAACGAATCATCGAGCCTGATATACCTAAAAGAAAGATGAAAGAGTACATAATACGATTAGTGTATGTCGAGATGTTAGGCCACGATGCATCGTTTGGGTACATACATGCTGTGAAAATGACACATGATGATAATTTGCATCTTAAACGTACTGGTTATTTAGCTGTGACGCTTTTTTTGAATGAGGATCATGACTTGATTATCCTGATTGTGAATACTATTCAGAAGGACTTGAAATCGGATAATTATTTGGTGGTTTGCGCCGCGTTGAATGCCGTTTGTAAGTTGATTAATGAGGAGACTATTCCAGCAGTGTTGCCACAGGTGGTAGAGTTGTTAGGGCATTCTAAAGAAGCTGTTAGGAAAAAGGCTGTTATGGCACTTCATCGTTTTTTTCAGAAATCGCCATCGTCCGTTAGCCATCTTGTCTCCAATTTCAGAAAGGTGCATTCTTTTGCATATGTATTGTGTTTATTAGTAATAGTTGAATTGGTTTTCGAGACTACATTGTCATGTTGTGCCTGTGTTGCATCCTTTTGTGGCAAGGATGTGGAGTAAATGTATTATTGAGGTAATTGGATGCATTCCAACATAAGTTATGCAGAAATTAATGTTGTATTATTTAATGTGGGATAGAATGTCCTTCAAGATTTGGAGGATGTAACAGGGCATGGCCTAGTGAAAATTTATTTCCAAAATAGTGTTAGTTTGAATTTTTAACACTCTGTTTTTGAGAATGGTGGTGTCCCATCCAGTTTGTGCACACCTCGGCTACTACTTCCCACCAACATAGGTACCTTGTAACTCCGTCCGTCAAGGCTTAGGCAGATAGGAAGAAGTTTGCTTTTCTAACACTTTCTGCTAAGCTGTACAGTGGAGAAAAATAGTATCTGTTGATTTTTATTGAACTTTTATTTCTAATGATTTTATGAAGGTCCAGAGGATGTTAGTGACCTTAGTATGGTGTTATACCAAAAGGGATAGGATTGAGGTGATGGGTAAAATTATGAGAAGAATGTAAGGATATAAGTGATGTCATGATAGATAATGAACTAAAGCTTGTGCACATTGAAAGGGACGTGGATGATATTTTTATCTGCATTTGAAGAGAAAATGATATTTTATGGTTTTAACTGATTCTATTTTATTTTTAATGATCATTTTGGTTTGCAGAGGCTATGTGACAATGATCCTGGCGTAATGGGTGCTACACTTTGTCCTCTTTATGATCTTATTGCTGCAGATGTTAATTCTTACAAGGATTTGGTTGTCAGCTTTGTAAGCATTCTAAAACAAGTAGCGGAACGGAGGTTGCCCAAGAGTTATGATTATCATCAGATGCCAGCTCCATTCATTCAGGTATTTTAATCAAAGTTCTAGTTGATCTCTTGCATGAGATGCACTTGAATTTTCTTTGTAAAAGGCTAAAAGCTGGAAAGATTGTATTTTTATGTGCCTTGTCTTGATGCAAACGTTCTCTCAAATTCTGGAGTGGCCATTCAAGTCCATGCTACCATCTCACATCTGAGGGCTGGACCTCTGATTTGGCTGAGGTTTGAATCCTTCCATCCCCAAAAATATAATTTCTGTGCAAAATATAGATTGCTTCTTTAACAATGTCATTGAGATAAAATTAGTAGATCCATAGAAGAGGAAGGTAGTTAACCTAGAAGAATTAAGAGCTTCAAGAAGTCGATTATTCAATTACATTTGAGGTATAGTTTTATGTGGAACCATTATATTTATCTCTTCCATTTAAATGCTAAAAGCCTTTATACGTCTATGCATATGTATACAACTATACATACAGTTTTATTTTTGTATTTCAATTTTGATGAGTCACCTAAGATCAATCAGCGCTCTAGTTTGTCCCTACTCCCTTGTCAATCTTAATTTTTTTAACATTATTATCAGTGATTGTCTTTCTTGGCTTTGCCGTTGGTATTGCCTTTTAACTAATCCACTTTTCTACAAGCTTCTACTATGTTGTGAAAATAGTTATACTATTCAATGAGATAAAATCTCAAAATATCAAAGCTGTTTTCTAATTATTCTTGGTATGTCGCTGAAATACTGTTTAAACTTGATTTTTGAGAATAGAAAATTGGCTAATATCAACTTTCTAAGATTACCAAATCTAAGAATATAGCTGACCCCAAACTTATGTAAAAGCTGACCCCAGCGAATTTTGTACTCGAGGCGTAGATGATTGTTAGATTGACCAAACGTATGGTAACTTGATTTTATGAATGTCTCTAGCAAAAACGAGTTTGCGCAGTTAAGATTTTCTAGCTTTGCAGAGTATCTAATCTTTTGCAAATAGAAAATGATCCCATATAAAGGTGATGAAGAACTAACTACTTCTGCCTATCAACAAGTAAACCCATGTCAATTCGCTGGCTTTACATTAACTTTAGGGTCAATATAACTCGTAGCAAAAGTTATGTCACTATAAGATGCAATACACTATGTTTTGTTTGGGTGGAAATGGAAATGTTTGACATTGACGAAATGGAGAAGGGGAGGGTTTAAGTTATTCCCTCCTCTGGAAAGTAAGTTAAAGAGGGAAAGATAAAATAGGAGTGTTAGGAGCCTCTGGGTCAGCTTTCACAGCTTCCCACCCCTCTGGAACAGGAAGATAACGTGGAATAATATCTCTTTCTCTTTCTTATCACTAGTGAATCACTTACTTTTGCTTCCCTGTACTCGTTTTTGAACCAAACCTAATGTTAGTCTCTTCATTTTTGCATGGATTGAGAGGGAAAAAAAAGTTTTGCTGACTTCCTTAAACAAATGTGATGCTACTAGTTTAATACAAAGAACAATAGGGAGGAAAAGTAAAAGGCAGTGATATTCACATGCAAAGTTGTCAACCTTTTTGGCTTAACACAGTGTAAATCTTGTATAGAAGAAACCAGTAGCTTATTGAATAAAGTAGTGCAAGCAATCTGATGGGGAATGTAACTATTGATTTGATAAGTCTTTCCATTAATCCTCTTACCTATCTGCTTGTAGAGATTTTCAAACTGTTCTGTTCTCTATTTCGTTCTACTTCGACAAGAAATGGATCTCTACTTGTAAGCTCAGTGCTGTTCTTTACGTGCAGATCAAATTGTTGAAAATTCTGGCATTACTGGGAAGCAGTGACAAAAAAGCCAGTGAACAAATGTATACTATTGTTGGTGACATTATGAGAAAAAGTGATTCAACAAGTAATATAGGAAATGCTATTCTATATGAGTGCATATGTTGTGTTTCCTCAATACATCCTAACCCCAAGGTATTAGAATCTGCGGCAGAAGCAGTTGCCAAATTTTTGAAGGTTTGTCTTCTTTATCTCCTGCGTGTACCTTTTTGTTGCCGTGCCTCTTGTTCTATGTTAGAAGCTAATTTCTTTCAATGTTACCTGGTGCACAGAATGATAGCCATAATCTAAAGTACTTGGGCATTGATGCGCTTGGTAGATTGATAAAGATAAGCGCAGAAATTGCTGAGCAGCACCAACTAGCAGTGATTGATTGTTTAGAGGTTAGAAATGTTACTTCTCAGGTTTCTTCTAAACAAAGGATAGCCATCACAATGTTGGCTTTCCTTTCTGTTTATGTCGGCAATACATAGCTAGAATATTCAGCTATTTTATTTCAGCAATGTGGCACCTTTATTTGCATTTTGGGCGTTTTTTTTTTTTCAAACTGTAGCTGGTTATTGCTTTGAATTTATTGTGGACTACAAGATCAGGAGAATTCCAATATAATTTGATTGAATTGTGTGACCCTAGTCTTCTGAACCGTACCATATCAAAAAAGTTGTAAGCATTTTGGTGGTTTTCAATCAACAAATGGTTGGTATTGGCAATATGTGCAAAAAGAAAAGATGAAAGAAGAGTATTTTTTAACAATAAAAAATCAGCCCCTTTCTCTTCGTTTTTTTCTTTTTGGACATGTGAGAAATAATACACGGGGAAAATTATCTTTTTGACCTATTAACAATGATATAATGAGGCCTATATATTATACATATTATACTCCTACTACATATGGGATTAGGACTATTTACATATAACTATCTAACACTCCCTCTCAAGCCAGTGCATACAAATCATATATACCGAGCTTGTTATATATGTAACTAATACGAGAACCAGTGAGGGACTTGGTGAAAATATCTGCAAGCTCAACCGACTAACAGATGCAAGATTAAAAGGACAACCACGGAGATAAAGGACAAAATCTAAAGTGACAGAGGATAAGGTATTAGCTTGTCCAACTTCTTTTGTTTTTGTTTGGACTCCATTGGCTAAAGTAACATTGGGAAGAGACTGTGAATAAACAATATTTTGACAAAAGTGACTTATTACCAGAAATATGATTAGAGGCGCTTGAGTCCATGACCCACGAGTAGACTGGGAAACACAAGCAAATGATTTACCAGCAACAAAAATATCAATCTGAGCAACAAAGGCTACTTGTGAGCAACAAAGGCTACTTGTGGAGGTGTCTGCTTACTTGCTCGATACTGAATGAACTCATTATATTCCCATTCAGAATAAAGAAAACCTCTGGTTACCTGCAGTTTATGTTTGAGCAACATGAGCATTTTTAGGTGGTCGACCATGCAAAGAGTAACACACCTCACGGGTATGTCCAAGCCTATTACAATAAGAACACTTGGGTCGAGACCTTCCAAAACGACCTCCTCCTCGTCTATTCTCCATAGTCTGAGATGCCCGATTTTCCACTGTCTGGGAGGCGAGAATAGAGGAGTCAGATGTCTGAGACACTATGTGACTGGGTGCTGCAGCAAGCCAAAGTAATCGAGAGAATAGTTCATCAACTGTTGGGACAGTCGGACTGGCCAAGATCTGGTCACGTACTGAATCAAGGTCATTACGAAGTTCATCGAGCGTAAGAACTAGAAACATCTTTTGTCGTTGCTCTTGTTGCTTTTAAACACTAGCAGAAATTGGCATTAACTTCTCAAATTCTTCCATGATTGCCTGTACTTGTCCCAAGTAAGCAGACATATCCAATTCTTGTTTTTTCAAATTTGTCATCTGCGATATTACATCATAGAAACGAGATTTGTCATTGATGTATAAAGTACGAGCCTTTTCCCAAACTAAATGACATGCATGGAATGCCTGGAATGGACGAAACAAATGCATCAACTTGGAATCAATAGATTGCCATAAGGTACTCTATAACCGAGCATCGATCTTCTCCCACTGTGCTTTGGCCTTTTCATCTCCCTCATTAGCCTTTTTGGTTAAGTGATCTTGAACACCTTGACCTTTATACCACAACTCGATAGACGAAGCCCAAGATAAATAATTTGAACTCCCAAGTAGGGGTTCAGAAGTAATCATAAAGGCTGAATTTCCAACTCCACTGTTTTTGGAGCCAAAAGCATCCAAATTGAGAGACATTATTGGATTGAAGTGAGTTCTAATCAACCAAATCCATAACCAGCTTCAATTAGTCAAGGAAAAAAACCCAGAAAATTCCAGAACATAGTTCCTGCCGGAAAAAAGGACTGTAGTTGCCGGACAATTTTCAAAGTGATCGAAATAAAAAGAAAATAGTATGGGTAAGCTCGGAATTGATGGGCGATCACACTATTGCAAATAGTTTTTTTCAAAAAGTGGCCGAAAAAGGCTCCACGCGCCGGCGCGTGGAGTAGATTTCGCCGGAAAATCTGACCTCCGAATGGCGCGTGAGCTGTCAGCTGCCGGAGATTTTTGTTGGGGTTTGGTCGCCGGGGATTGGGGATCCTTGTGGTGGTGTTGGATTTCGCACAACACCAATAGAAATTGATTTGCCTTAAATTTGCCCTAGAAAGTCGCCGGAAATTGACGCGCGATGACTGTATGACTTTCCCGGATGTGTCTTACTCACGCTCTGATACCATGTGAGAAATAATACACGGGAAAATTATATTATTGACCTATTAACAATGATACAATGAGCCCTATATATAATATATTAATACATATTACACTCCTAGTACATATGAGATTGGGACTATTTAAACATAACTATCTAACAGAACATATTGGTTAATTCAAAGAAGATCACGTTGATGNCCACCCACACACACACACAAAAAAAAAATATATAATCAAATGCTTCTTATTACCTTCATTGATGAAAATTTTGGACAACTTTTGATCATTTTTATGGAGTACCCAATTACATTTATTGTCTTACTTCCCAAGTTGAATCAAAGGCCGTAGACATATAACTATGTAGACTTTGTTTCTTTCCTTTCTTATGCATTTGAAACCAAATTTTCTTTTGAAAGGTCTAAAATTTGGACTATCTGTTTACCACCCGAACCACTCTCTGCCCACATTTCATTAGAACTTCTTTTGGGTGAAATTAATGATTTCCTTGAGCAAGCCTTGGCATTTTTAATTTAACTTTAAAAATAATTTTCTTTTTTTTCCTTTCTTGCAAGGCTAGAATTAGAAACTCTAAGTGACAACTACTGGAACTTTGGATTTTAAATAAAATAATTATTCAACTTAGTGATCACGGGTATATTACATATCTTTAAAGGCCATATTTTGAGACATGTAACCCGTGGGTTATGAGCTTTTCTTTTGCCTAACTTCTAAATATCTTTTGCCTACCATAGTTCAGGATTTTTCTTTACAAGATGGTTAATTAACTATGGAGTTTGTTTTATGGTGTATCTTTTCGTCAGGGTATAACTTAACTCATCTATATGCTGTTAGAAAAATGGAAACTTGCTCCATTAATTCATTTTCCAAAAAGGAACAGTTTCCTCCCTTTCCTTCAGAGATGCTATTAATCAATATGTTTAGAAGATGGAGATGCTTTCTAGGCTGTTCCCTTTATGACGCCAACCATTGTAATACAGGACCCAGATGACACACTGAAGCGGAAGACTTTTGAGCTGCTGTATAAAATGACAAAGCCATCGAATGTAGAAGTTATTGTCGACCGTATGATTGATTACATGATGAGTATAAATGATAACCATTACAAAACTGAGATAGCCTCCAGATGTGTCGAACTGGCTGAGCAGTTTGCACCGAGCAATCAATGGTTTATCCAGGTCAATTTAGTGTAGCAAATGATTTTTTCATAGCATTTGCTGTATTCTAGTAACAACTACCATGTTTTTTGACGTGCTTACAGACCATGAATAAAGTGTTTGAGCACGCAGGAGATCTAGTGAATTTAAAGGTTGCCCACAACTTGATGCGGCTAATTGCCGAGGGATTTGGAGAAGATGATGATACTGCAGATACCCAGCTGAGATCATCAGCTGTACGTGTTTTTAACTTTTTGCTTCGCTTGGTGCTAAATTTCTTTTCCAGCTTTAATGGATATTCATCATTGGTGAAAAACATTGCAATCCTGAGCCTACGTTTTGGAATACTTCTTGTATATATGATTTTTCTCATGCAATAATAATTACTGTACTTTATATAGAAAACACATTACTGCCCTGAGCCTGTTTATTCTTTTGAATATAGTTTGTTTTCTATCAGATGGAAAATTTTAAAAGGCTAAGAGCTAGCATAACTTGGATATAATCTGGTCAAAATGAAGTAACAAGCTTGATAAAAAGATATGTTTAGGTAGCTATTAACTAATCAAGAAAAAAGAAAAAAGAAAAAAAGAAATGTTTAGATAACTATTACGCTAGAAATTGGTGGCTTGTCTTCTTATTTTCATTTAAGTAGTATTCTAGGCTATAGTTTATTTCTTACTGAAAGGTGGTTTGGTAGTTGAGGGACCTGAGGTAAATTAACATCTAGATCATTTTAAAGGAACTCCTCTGGGGTTCTTATTCTATCAGTTGAATACATGCATTAGAAGGAATTATTTAATACTTTGTTAAACTTTTGTTCTCTGTTCTGGTGGCTGGAGAGTAAGCTAATGATGTTCTGTTGTGTTAATTTTTAAGTAACTTAAATTGTGTGATTATTCCTTCTTTCTCTATCATGCCAAGCTGAAAGTTTGAAATACTCTTGTTGAAGATTCTGGATAATCTTATGTTAAGTGTTATTATTCTGCAGTTACCCATAAAAAAAGTGTTATTATTCTGCACTTTATTAAAGGGTCCAGCATTATCTACGTCTTTTACAGCCTTTTTTTCTCTTTATCTTGCTCATGTTGTGTATAATTGCACAGAAGATATTGTTTTTGTATATTCTGTTTTTGTGTCTCTAACAGATTACACTTTTGATTGGCTGCAGGTGGAGTCATATTTGCGCATCATGGGAGAGCCAAAACTTCCCTCTGCATTTCTCCAAGTAGGTTTCCAAACCAGTCCCCTACCTACTTACAGTAATAAAATGTTGCCATGCTCAAATGTCATGATGTTCTCAGTTGACCTCTTCTGGTGCTTAACTCAACCTTGTGAGTTGCAGGTTATTTGCTGGGTCTTGGGGGAGTATGGAACTGCTGATGGGAAGTATTCTGCCTCCTATATCACAGGGAAAATATGTGATATTGCTGAGGCTCATTCAACTGATGACATGGTCAAGGTATGCGAGATCCAATTGCTGTTCTCTATCAGCTGCAATCTTCTAGTATGAGTTGTTTCTGTATTATGATACGCTTTGGATCTTAAAAGCTAGTAAACAGTGATGAAAAATCACCTAATGGCATTTGTTCTATTTTGATAAGCTTCCTCAATTTTCTGGCTTTCAGAATCGTTTTACCCTCTTTGCCCTTTGTTCTCGTTTAACTCGACATCCCTACTTTAGAGTATGTGATATGAGCAATGTGGAAGGATAGCCCCCAAGTCTGTTCTATGTCGTGGTATTATTGTCCAGGACATGAGGTCCTAGAATTATGTATTTAGATATCTCCTACTGTCTTATGCCTTTTGTATCATATTCATTTTGATGACAATTTGATTTAATATCTCATTGCGGCTAGTTGACTTTTCGAAAGAGCCTTGTAAATACTTATTAATGCTGCGAAGTTGGTTCAATAACAACAGGCTAAAATTTTAGGTGATTTATTGCATATACTGAATACTGTAAGGGTTTTGATGGCTTTCTTTTTTTGTCTAGTACTCTGTGTTCCTCTGAAGGTGGATCAAACCTTCTCTGTTTTTCCTCGTTTTGACAACATGCTGAATTTCTTTGAAGCAGAAATAGTGGTAACTATTCATTTCTATAGTTGCAAGAGATTAGGTTATTTTGTTGGTATGGAGGGTAAGCAAACAAGAATTCTTTTGAGCTATATACTGGTTCTACTGTGAAGAAAAGACTTCTTTTTATAACCGAGAAATCCCGAGGTAATGGGCCCGCCCTATACTCTTCTCCACTAATATACCAGACTTTTTTCTTCGGCAGGGTTGGAACCTGTAACGTGTGCCAAACCCGCACATTACACTTTGCGCTCTTACTATTAGACCAAAGACCTTGGGGCTATTGCGAAGAAAAGCCTTGTAGCAGACAACGCATGTGTAAAACTGGTGCTAAGAAGTTACATCTTTACTTTCATGGAACTTGGAAATTCTTAAATTTTCCCTAACACTGGAGATATGCCAAGAAGGATAGAGTTTTGATGAACTTCTACAACTTACATTATTGGTTACTTCATCACGAACTTACATTATTGGTTAATAAGTGAAATTATTCTTGGCAAGCATCATTGAATGGATCAGATTCTTCCTGTTTTAGGGATACCTATTTGTTATAGTCAAACTATTTGACATGTTGCTTGTTGATCTTTATGTACTAGTATTAGTCTTAAAAGTCTATAAAACTTTCTCTCCGGTGCTATTTTACCATGGGTACCTTTGAGGTTGCATGTTGTACAGGCACTCTTGTACTTATGCATCGTGTGTTTCTTCAGGGTGTTTCCATTATCCTAATTTCAGTATACTGCACCCACACTATAATATACACTCTTAAAAGTTGAACTCTTTATGGATTTTCGGTTCTTCTTTTATAGGCGTATGCAGTATCGGCGCTTATGAAAGTATATTCATTTGAAATAGCAGCTGGGAGGAAAGTGGACATGTTGCCTGAGGTAAGTAAATTAACTTTCGAGCCAAGTCGGTCAATATTTTTTCCCTTTGGACAAGATTGTTTATCCCAACAGTTAGGCTGAAGTTTTTCGTTTATTTTGCTGACTCCCCGATCGTATCTTTTGGTGTGTGATGTGATCTGCACCTCTTGGCTCCATGTTGAATAAACTCTCATGTCTACCTGTCAAAGAATAAAAAGTTCTTAGAAAGGGAGAAAAAACCATACACCCATTTTTGCAGATGCAGAATAACCATCTTATTGTATTTACTTTAATGGGTGGTGTTAAACTTGGATAACCATGAAATATAAATTCTTAGAGTCACAAGGCAAACACTTCAGTTTTATTTCTTTTCGTAAAACCTCTGGTATAACATTCGATTGCTGATGAAGAGCTTAACACTTCTATGATAATCAAATGAGCTTTCATGAGGGCAAAAAAATGAGAATGAACTTTTTATCTTTGTATTTCTCGCAAGGAATAAAAGAATCTTATTGCTTTAATACGTATGTTCCATAAAAGACCATATTAGTATTGGAATGGAATGAGCTCGACTAGAGTGGAATGGATATGGAGGATTCATACAACCAATCCCAACTAGTTCAGGATTGGGGCATATTGATTGCTTGCTTGCTTATTAAAAATGAAATTGCTTCCATAATATGAAAAAGGGGAAAAGTAGGCTGCCTCCTATTTATATTTAAGTAAGCCAAGACTCCTCTTGGCCGTTTGGTTGCCGGTTAGAAAAGAGTTATCCATGTATTAAGACTAGCATAGCTTTATACATTATTTGGTTACAAAAATGGGGAAAAATAATCTTTAAATAGAATCTAGCATAAGTTATACAATGTTTAGTTGGCCTTTTCCCTTTTCCACATAAAACATAGCATTGCTAATACAATGTTTGGTTCGTGTTTTCTTTTCCGCATAACTAATACATGTATAAGTCATGAGGGAATCTATGTGTTATTTAATGCAGTGTAGAACATGGAATAACTAGTATATGTATTACTAATACTCGGGTTAAAACACAAAATGACAAGAATACCCTCTATTCAAACTTGGTACTTTTTTGTTTGTTTAAAAGAACATATTTAAAATATACTTTCAATTTTTATAGAATAAACTAGACAAATAATAAATGATACTCAAACTACATTTCTATAATACTAATCCGACATAACTAATTTTCGTATAATTAATCCCCGTATAACTAATTCTCGTGTAACTAAACTCTGCATAACTAATTCCTTTTTTACTAAGGTAAGATATTATTAATATGCAATATCAAGAAAATACTGCAGAAGAGACAAACAACAGAGCTAATCCTGCATAACTAACCCTGCATAACTCATTTTCGAACCAAACGACCCCTTCATGTTTTGGAACCTAAAATTTTACCCTCTCAGAAAGGAAGATTGAAGAAACTGGCCATACTATCTGACCAAGAGTAAATATCTTAATATCACTTCATTAAAATCTGTAAATCAATGGACAGGGAATGAATGATGTGCCAATTTTTCTTACGTTTTGTTTTTTGATAAGGTGAGTTTTTCCAATTTTACAAGTTTTTAAGACAAGGTCCTCATTCACTTTTTTTCCATCTCGTCTGCTGCGACGAAGAATGTGAGGCTTTTGTTGGGATGGTGGAAAAACCTTTTGTCATCATACAGTAAATAGAAGGCGAAATCCAAGTTTCATCCAGAAAAAATTTGTAGTGAGATATAAAGGGGATGTCTCTGGAATAAACCTAAAGTAGTTAGGGAACGAAAAACTTGAGGGACCTTTTCTGTCATCCTGTTGTGAGGTCGTCCGGGG